CGATACAGATACCCTCCATTATGCTTGAACTGCAGAAGCCGGGACAGTCGGCCGCGACGAGCGAGGCTCCGGGGATTGCCGCCCGCTACGACTCTGCCAACACAACAACAACAAAGCCGCTTCACGAGTCTAATTCCTAGGCATCTAAGTTCACTAGAGACTAACTTAAGAGACAATGGAATCGTGCCGGCGTTCCTGCGCCGAAAATTCGCGGGGTGCGAACCGACGCGTGAAACAACGCGATCGCCTTCGATCGCCCCTTCCCTCTTCCCCTTTCCTTTTCAACTCTTCTTCAAAAGAGCTAAAACTTGCTCTCACCAGCTCTCGTTGTCCTTTTGGAGTAATTACACGGTAGTGTGGCTTTTGGTTGAAGAAAACAGAGTTTCTGCAGTTATTACGAACTAAATTCGCGCTTCTAACAACCAGTAATCAGGTTTCCTTCAATTAACATGATAATGACACAACTATACGCGCCCTGGTTGAAAAAAAACGAATTTCTGGCTCTTAAAAGCGAATTTGGTTCATAAGAACTGTAGAAATTCTGCTTCTCTCAATTAATTCGACGATGATAAACTAAGCGCTTTTTGCTTAGAGAGAACAGAATTTTAGCTCTTACTAAATTCGGTTTTAAGAACGAGAAATTTCTTTTATTAGAGCTGAATTTGATTCATACGAACTAGAAATTCTCTTTCCTTCAATTAATATGATATTGATGCAACTGAATGCATTTTGCTTGAGAGGATTTTCGACTCTTATGAGGCCGGTTTTGAGAAACGGGAATTCGTTTTGATCGATACGAACCGGAAATTCTCTTTCCTTCAAACAGAACATGCATGGTTCGTTCATATTGTCACGTTAATTGCACCAGATCTTTTTCTCCGTACATCTTCTCGCACACGCCGCTTTTCGAGAGTAACGACGCGAGTGAATCCTGACAGAGTCGCGGAACATGGAAACGTCTGTCCCGGAATATGCTGATGACGGTACGGGAAATCGCGTGGGCGTCTCCCGTTCGATGAAAGTGGATTGAGCGAGATCCGATTGAGCGCCACGATGCGCGACGATCTCTCCCTGATCAATTCGCTTTGCTGATTTTCGTTTTAATGTGATCACGCGCGATCTAGTCGAACGTGGCGCGAGCGTGCGCGATAATACGTTTAAATGCCTGGCTCTCTGCAGTGGCGTTTGTACGCGTGCAGCTCGTTGCACATCTCACGCGGGGGCGTGTAACGATCGCTTTGTCGATCGATCAGAACCGATTAGCCGACGATTAATTCGTATAAGTTAATCCGGGCAACAGATTACCACCCGACAACGCTCAATTGCATGTTTTATTGCTGAAACGTGCCGCGCGTGGCGGTTGCACCGCGCATTTTTAAAGTAACGCCTGCACGGGCTCGCGAATATCACAGATACGAGAGCTCGGCCAAAACTTGTGGGGCACATATCTCCTTGTGATGATACGACATTAACACCGATTAACAATTCAGGTATATAAAAATGTCTAAAAATAAAAGTATCTTCGATAAAATATGTTCGATTGAAGTTAAAAAATAACGCGTTAATTATGACGTCGTTACAGTTACGAGTTACTATTTTTGAGAGACGACTTGGTAACTGCCGTTAATTTTGTTTTCGTAACGAAATCACATTCTTGGATTTCGATAACGCATGCAACTGTTACTTTTATCTTTATTTTGCATGTATATTATCGAATATGTGCGGGATGAAAGGGAGCAGCGGATCGTAAAGAAGATGTCTACAAAACTTGGTGAAAAGAAGAAGTGCAACGACGGAAATTGCACCGACTCATTATCTCTCTTGTGTGACGATTAACGCGATAACGAGTTGCTTTTGAAACGCGTTTGAAGGTAATTCCAAACTCCCTGAACTCTGTGTTTAAAGACTTCCAGCTTTGTAGTCGCGAAATTTCGTGCTCAAGGATTCAGTGCTCGAGTCCATTTTGAAATTCGACCCTGTTATCAATTCTCCGAATTCGTAGCTCTCGCGAAATTCAAGACGCCGGAAGCTGTTAGCGCCCGAGGAAAATAATGTCCAAAATTCGCGAGCGCGCAATAACGGCCGGGCGTTAATTCTCTATTAAATTGTTATGCGAGAACTTGAATTCATGAGGCACGGAGGGTGTTTCATCCGACAGCAGGATTTCGCGTTTTCGGTGCGCGCGATAACACGCGGCACGTTTCAGCAATAATACACTTCCCGGTGAAATACAACGCGTTTCCGAAAATACATAAACCGGCGGCCCACCGGAAGCGGCAAGTGGACATAATTACTCAACTAACAATGTTCTCTCACGAGACGCTAATTTACCGTCGATATCGGACCGTGCGAGCTCATCGATTTGTGACATTCATTTAAATCAAAGTGCATATAATACGCATTGCTGGCTGCTCGTTAAAATTATGCGAAATGACAATTGGTCTTTGGGACAATTTTAAAATCGATATCTGTGCAATTGCTTCAAGTGATTGTCGCGTCGAAACAGCGGACCTTGAAATCGTTGCGCGGTTCAAATAATTGTTACACTAAAAGGGGTCAGCTGATCTCGAGCTGTTAAAAGGATACCAATTATAGCTGCGTTTCGATTATTGCCAATACTGAATAAACAATATAATATAAATTATAACTGTTGAATATTGTCAATGAATATTGAAACGCAACTATAGAATTGTATTGGACGACTACACGACTAATATACTTACGTACACTGAGAAAAAAAATATTTAAAAATTATCAAATATTTATTAAGTGGATACCATTAACATATTTACTTAAATCAAAATTCTTTTCATTCAAACAGAGTATTGTTTACTTAGTTTAAATGAAGAATTAAAGTTTACTTAAACCGAGTAAACAATACTCGATTTAAATGAAAAAAATGTTGACTTAAGTAAATATGTTAGTGATACTCACCTAATAAATATTTGTTAATTTTTAGATATTTTTTCTCGGTGTATACGTAGACTGGGCTCTCCACAAGAAACTACAAAGACTTGACTAGACACGGATGTTCTGTTAGCGCAGCCATTTGATCTTTGTCTAACTTGATTCCCTTCGAAGCTAGTTAGTTAGATAAGGCTCGAGTTAGACAAATCGAATGCATGTAAACAGTGCAAGAAGAGCATAGCTGCTCTTCAAATGTTATTCTCAAATTTTTCATAAGAAGGCGCAGTCTGTGCATATAAGGCGTGTATTAATAATCGTTACTTGAAACTTGTTTCACGTGAAAACTTTAGATTTGAATGTAGAATTAGATGTAAATTTTTCAGTTGAATCAGATTATGTAATGTCATGTGTGTCACAGAATTCGACTGAGAAACTCAGATTTAAATCTAACTATGATCTATCCGTATTAATAGCTGCTATTTGGAACTCATCTCAAATGAAATACTCAGATTTGAATTCAGAGTCAGACGCGAGTCTAATGAGAGTCTGTAATCGTGATTCAACACTGAAAAACTCTCATTCAACTCGGAATTGAAATCTAATTATCTCAATTAATCTTTATCTGAAAGTTTTTAATTAGCTAAATAAAGTTTCAAGTAATAACTACCAATACGAGAACCTAAGTTCATTATCCAATTTCACGTGTCGATTAAGGAATCTGTTGTTTCAGTGTAACAATTACTTGGACCGATTCCAGACGTCGTTTCCAGAATCGACTGCTATTTGGCACGGTCCTACTGTTCGCCCACACCACCGTTACACGGGCTGACTCACGAGCGTTGTGTGAAGGTGCAAAAAGGCATGCACAGATCGCTTTGCTCGGCTCCGAGACGGAAATTCGTCGAATAAACGTCGAACGGGAAGACGCGCATCGCACCCCTACAGACTTTCCTCCACCGCGAGCCCGCTCCTGCTATTTGTGCGAACATTTCCGCGACACGTCCTGTACACTGACGAGCTTTTACAGGCGCGCAAACGCGCGGGCAGCTTGATGGATCGCGAAATATACGGCGTGGGAGCGAATGTTGTAAAGTAAATAAGATTATGCGCTATAAGCTACCTGTTGATCCGCGCCATAGCCCGAAGGAGCCATCGGCTTTTAGGGTCGCGATTACATCCGGTGCAAATGCGAGTTAACCTAGGGCCGTCGTGCTGACGCGCGGGTGTAGGTCGAAGTACATGACCTCGCGATCGAGCGGGGGTATCATGGGACTGCTCGGCATTGGTATCGATCGGCACGCGAACAACTGACCGATCCAGCTGCTTCTCCGGAGGGATTTCGCGGAAGTCAACCTCGGAGAAGGGCCAAATCAAATCTTGTTTAATTGCCTCGAGCGTTCGGAGAAAGCGCGTCGTGGAGGAGCTATTGTCGAGGAACTTTGTGTGCACCGCGCTCCGCGAATGTTGCGTTGCGACGTCGAATAGACGTACTGATCGGCTGTATTATTCGAAGAGGCACCGATCCCGACCGGCGGCACGCTGTGCGAGAGATCACGCAACAATTGGGATATACAGCGCGTCAAGTTTGTCTCTCGACGATAACTTCCCAAAGAAAACGTTTCCAAGCGCTTCCACACAATGGAACCTTTGAGAACCTAGAACCTTTGGACCTGAGACTCCTACTTGATCTGGAGGGAGTATCTTCTCATTTGCTCACCACTAACTTTCGAGGCGAACCAGCTCGAGACAATTAGCCCCAGTGGCTTTCTCTCCTGATGTACTATCAGGATCGCACGATTATACAGCTATATCGTCGCGCATTATCCCTCGAATGCTTCCGTCGGCCGACCTCATGGGCGACCTGGTCGACCCGCAGGAGCCCGCGACGCGAGCCACACATGCCGACATTCCATTCTCTCTTAAGTCTCGTCGGAGACAAACGGAGACACGCGAACGAGTGCGTGTGGATGACGCGCGACGCGACACGTGCGATAAAGTAGAAAAAAAAACGAAAGGAGCGGGGAGCGAAAGTGGCGTGTGTAACAGTATGTGTATACAAACAGAGTGTCGGCTTAGAGATATGTCTCACTCACTCGGCGTTGGTCTCCGGTGTGGGCAGGTCGCCGATCGTCGTCAGCGTCAGGGTGGACCAGTAGAGGGAGCCCAGGTATTTCCTGGTCAAGGTAGCGTATTCGCCGGGCCGGTACGGGTACACCCAGTCGCCCTGAAAGCCCTCGGTCTCGCTCAGCAGGTAGTAAAAGCAGCCGAACCAGTGCGCCAGTATGAGCAGTATGTGAATGAGATTCAGCACGCGCCATAAGTTTGGGTAGACGGTGCGCGACTCCACCATGTAGTAGTAATTGTACACGCGGTAGATCTTGAGGAAGCGCGGGAACCTCAGCATCGGGTTGCTGCCGAAGTTCACCTGCAGCAGGTCGAGCGGCAGCAGGGCCAGCAGGTCGAGCACGAACGACTTGGATTTGAGGTAGTGGCCGGCCAGCTTCCGGCTGTTGTATACCATCAGGCCCTGCTCGAGATAGCCGGTGCGGAACTGCACCGCCACGTCCAGGAAGAACACGAGGTCGGTGAAGCTGTCGCAGGAGAGCCAGGCTGCAGGCGACAGCGCCTGCAGCTCCGGCATACTCTGGCGCACGATCAGCGTCCATAGGTTGTACAGTACGCAGGCCGACAGCAGCATCAGCCAGTAGTAGTAGAAGTTCTCGTCCGGATTCACCACGGTCTTGGGAGGCTTCTGGGGCTTGCGAGGCCGTCTGCGGCGCCGACTGCCCGTCTCTTTGTCGGTCGCGTCCCCCTCGCCTTCGCCGGTGTCGAGAGTCTCCTGGCTCTCCGGGATCTGCCTGGTGGAGAACCTCTTGAGGAAGGAATCCTCGCGCTTGAGCGGCGGCTTCTTCTGTATCGTGGAGATCGCCGAGGACAGCTGCACCGTCGTGCGCAGTTTCATCCACCGCTGATTGCTCTTCGTTCTGCGGGCAGAAAAAGAAATAGGTCGCCAGTCAGGGACGAGAGGGGTAAGTAATTAAACAACTCTCCCTCGTGTATGAGTCGCGCGGAACGCAGCCCCTGTGTCGTCTCTCGCATATATGCGCGCATGTGTTTCGAGGAAGTCGAGTTCCCCTCTTCGCTCAAGCAATCATTAATCCTGCTCAGCAGGTGATTAATTTTTTCTTTCGCGTATGTACTTGTTCGTTGCGTACGAGTTCGGGTGTTTTATATAGATCCGCCGGGGGTGTCATTCGTAAAGGCCGATCGTCGTCGAGGCGGTGTGCCGCGTTCGGCTTGGTAATAAATAGCGAACGGATTGCACGGTCTCGCTCGGTCGCAATCCGCAGCTTGGCGTGTAGATAATAACGAAATGTACACCATAAACCGCGCATAAAGGCGGCCATCAAGCGCGACGAGAGAGATTCGTTATAACTGCCAGTCAGAAAGCCATCTTGGCTCTCGCGCTTGCACGCGAGACCAATAAATACAATAATAAAAACATCGACCCCGAGTCGCGCACGTTGTGTCGGCTTAAAAGGGTCGTTTGAACAATGATGCAAACTCTTCAGGTCTAAACGGACATTAACTCGATTTTCTTACGTCGTGTTTTACATAAATTCCATATATATCTATTTCAATTATAAGCGCGAGATTTACTCAAATGATATTTAACATCGACCATCACAAAACAAATTTATGTTTCAGTTATATTTTTACACGATGGGGTTGAATTTGGCGATATTTATGGCGATATTCGCGACATATTCTATACGAATTCGTAATCACACGATCAAAACAAACAAATCATACGCACCCCGATATGTACGCGCGCGACATAGAGAATAAAATTGTCTCTCTATCGATCTAAATGAGGGTATATTTTTTTTTTTAATATAAACACGATGCACATTTTCTCTGTACGGCGGCAAATTTACGTCACATGCTACTTCATTAGATTTAATCGTATGCATTGACCTATGAATTACTGGACAGCGCTGTATGCGAAACTCTAAAGTTGAAATGTGATAAAGGGGGGTTTTCAAACGCGTATAAACGCGCGACACAAAGTATTATCCGGCGTTATTTCTCCCATCAAGCGGAAGTGTGAGAGAGTAAAAGATAGAAAGAGAGTGAGTGAGTGAGAGGTAGAAAGAAATAGAAAGAGAGATAGATAGATAAATAAATAGGTAGATAGATAGATAAATAAATAGATAGATAGAAAGAGAGAGAGCAAGCGAGAGAAAAAGAAAGAGAGAGCAAGAGAGACAGAGAACAAGAGAGAGAGAGAGAGACAGAGAATTCATTTTGTGACAAATTCTATTTTTCGCTGGCCTTTCATCGCAGAAAAGAAGCCGATAAATGCGCGAATGTGTCGCGCTCTATAAATAATCACTGTCTGACGTGATTTACGAGTATTAAGTCGACCGCGTGATCTATGGACATTCTCACAGGAACTGAAAGTACGTACTTTTAAAGACTGATTTATCCGGACGGAAACAATCTGTTCCAATGACGCGTGTACGGATTTATGAAGGTAGTAACGGCTAAAATCGTTCGTCACCCGGGCAAAAAATGTGGACGAACGGAGAAGGGATCGACGATACGCGCTTCGCACCGTACACGTTTTCGCACTTCCTCCCGGAATACGATATACGGCGGAGAGGGGGAAAGATGAGATACGTCTCTCTCTTGATCGACGTTTGATCTCATAATTATATCGTAGAGTATTATATGGTGGTATTCCCAGTGTGTGTTCACCGACAAAAATGTCACGAGTGAGATCGCAAGGACACTTGCGCTGTACCGCTCTCAATCGCGACACTCTCGCGGGTGAAAATTTAAATAATCCGATATTACGGTACTACTTCAATACTCGACGAGACAGAGCCGCGTCGCTCGTCGTTGTCACACACGGCGTACCGATCGTCCCTGAAAGAGATACAATCGAACACGCGCGCACATACACACATACACACACATACACACGGTCCCTTTGTAATCGGGATTCCGCGCGACTGAGAACGCCGCGAGTTCCTTGCGAACCACGCATGCATGAGCTTCGTCGCGCGACGTCACGCAGGAGTCGCAGTAGGATTCGCTATGTATGTATCACAAGGCATCTCGTTCCCTAGTATTCTCGCTCTATGATCTATTTATTCTTGCAAACGCACACGAAGAAGTATGATATGTTAAATAATACGCCTACTGTATCGTTCCATTCGCCAAGACCTAGTGAAACGTAAGGAAACAGATCATTCTTTCTGTTTTAAATCTGTTTTGGTTTTTTTTTTCGAGTATATCGTCGAGTATATCTCTAAGTTCTATGTAAAGTAGGGAGATTCTTGCTTGAAGTGAGAAACGAAGCAAGAGTCGGAGATCAGATTAGTTAGCTAGAGTATATCGGATGGATAGGAGGCAGACAGACAGACAGCAGACAGACAGACAGACAGACAGACAGACAGACAGACAGACAGACAGACAAACAGACAGACAGACAGACAGACAGACAGACAGACAGACAGACAGACAGACTGACAGACAGACAGACAGACAGCAGACAGACAGACAGACAGACAGATAAAGAGACAAACAAATAGAAACAGAGACATTGAAAAATCGTACGTCAGAGAACAGAGAGACAATAACGCAACTAAAGGTCATCATTATATCACTACGCATTCTTTTATCGTTAACACATCCATGTGAAGTGTCGTAGACTGTAGGTGTTGCCGCGTGTATGTTCACCAGCCCGCAAAAGTGGAAGTAAGGTCGATCTCTCTTTCCCTCTCTTTTTTTCTCGAATACCTATTTTCCGCCTGTTTAAAAAAATTAATCGCAGCTCGGTTGACTTTAACTAATGTTTACGGGGATGGCCCGCCGAGGTAAACTCGAAGGGCGAGTGACGCGAGTAAACGGCCCGTCGCTGAGGAGGTAATCGATGCGTGTCCGCGAGCTTAGGAACGTTCCATCTTTATAACGGCATCGTCGAGAATATACATTTGACGACTCGTCTATCGGTTGTATCGTTTGGTACAAGGTAAATTGTGAGTATAGTAGTCGGTACAGTGATAGATTCGCGGACGTAACGTAATAGAGTAGGTGGGTTGGTAGGTAGATGCACACAGAAAAATATCATTTCACTGATGAGAAAAGCTTCCTCGGTTATTTTTTGGCAGGGGACGTTTCCTCGATTGTATTAAGAGATATGCTTGAATAGGTCAATAAGTATCATTATACATTTTAGGAGAGTTCATATTATCATCTAGAGAAGAGAAAAGAGTTTATTCTTTCTAGAAGGAATTTTATAGCGAGAGTAAAATTTTGTAACCAAGGAGGAGATCGACATTTTGCAGTAACTGACTAGCTTTTCATTTTGCATATGCCACTTATATTTTAATGCCATTATTCTAAACAGAATCGTAACTTACTCTCGTAAAATTTGTAAGAACTCATGAATAAATCTACAATTCTATATGTACCGATCATTCGTAAATACCTACGATTTCACATAATTTCATGAAATTTACAAATGGTCGTATAACATATGATATGCATATGATATGCAATTGTAGATCTACTCATGAGTTCCTACGAATTTTACGAGAACAAGTTACAACTCTGTTTAGAATTGCATAACATATGCTGTTGAAGATATTTGCTATGTTTCCGGGCGAAATTTACTATTTACTTCCTTGGCAAGATAGACTGTGTCTACAGTCCACTTTCCTGCACTACTGGAAACGTAGGAAAAGAGAGTTTATATGAGAAAAAAAATTAAAATATCCTCTCTGTGTAGAAGAATATCAAAATAACTTTCTCGAAAAGAGTTCTATGCAATAAACAAAATGAACTTTTGTTCCAATATTCTCGAAATGTTAATCTGCTAGGATTCAGAATATATTTTGGATAATTTGGTGTTTACAGATTTGCGAGTGTATAAACTTCACTAAATATCTGAGACAATTAACATTTCCTTGAATGCGGTATGTATTGGGTGGATACATAAGTTCGTGCAAACTTTTGTCTACTTGGCATCTGCATGTGGGTATTAAGAGACTAATTCCTTACAGTTGGCTTCCTATGCTTTGGCATTTCAAGACATATTTTGTGGTACAGCTGATAGTATTCAAAGAAGTACAGTCTTTGTTACGGCTTGAACATAGCAGTAATAAACTTTTCCAGTGCATTATCATTATGCTTTATTATTTCCGTAAAGATTGTTAGAGTTAGCTAGGGGTTTTGTCTCACCAATCATGTTCACCCGACATTATTCCCTGCGATTATCTCATATTTCGCTCATTACAGAACTTTCTTGACAATATAAACTTCTTAAAGAATGTAAAAAATCACTTGGCACGTTTCTTCGCCGGAGAAACAAGAATTTTACGAGAGCGGGTTGTGAAATTACATGAAAAATTCGCAAAGAATTGTCAAACAAAACGGTGCACATATTATTGATTAAAATTGCTCTTTTTTTTACTAAGAATATAACGTATCTCAATTTTGTTGAAGAATTCGCACGAACTTATGGATCAACTTAACGTATTTTTCTGTGTGCAAGTAGAGATAAGTAAAGAGCGGCGGCGGGATAGAGTTGCAGTGACGAGCGAGTGGAGTAGCTAGTGCTTTCGTAGGGTATCTCACGTTAAGATGCGACGCGACGTTCACGAAGTAAAACGATCGGATGACCGCATTCGAGACTTCTGTTTGATTCCCGTAACCCATATCGTTGCGACGTCGTTATATTACGACGTAGTGTCTCTACTTAGAATTTTTCAGGAAAACGTAAGGGGTGTAGTTGAAAGAATCGCCCGACGTAACACGAGTATTTCTCCGAGTACTTTGCTGGCGGCAGGTAGAAAGACAGCCACTTCACGAATGTAAATCCACGAGGCCGGCTACGAATTTAACGCGGCTAGCAGCAGCAGTAACGGCGGCAGCCTTTATTGCAGCCTATGTGTATTCGTCTGTGCTGAAAGTC